ATGTTCCATAATAAGGGTCCGAGCACGGACTCCTGTGGAACACCGCGGTAGACCGCCCTTCCCCACTGTAGTTCCGCTTTGTTGCTCCAGTTTTTTATCCCGGAAATAGTCCCTGATAATTGAGACCAGATGGGGACCCTGAAATGTGCCAAGCCCGCCTCCACCTGGTCCCAAGGGAGGGAGTTGAAAGCGTTGGCGATGTCAAGTGACATCGCTAACACAACTTCCTCCCCTCACGATCGCCTCGGCCTCCAATAGGGACCGGACGCGCAGAATCACGTCCACGCTTGACCGTCTCTCCTGGAAACCGTACTGCTCCTTTCTGAGCGTGGAACTATCCCGGGATAGATGCCGGACGAGGCGGGAGTATATTATTCTCTCGAATAACTTACCCGCCTCGTCCAGCAGGCATATCGGCCTGTAAGCGGAAGGGCTATCCTCCGCCTTGCCCCCCTTTTTGAAGAGAACTAAATTAGTCCTCTTCTATGGGCTGGAGAACACCCTGGTCCTCAAACAGGAGATGAAGAGTCGCAACATGCGGCACTTCACCTCCCCTATCCTCATTGCCAAAGCCCAGATTGTGCCCGGGATGTCGTTAGGGCCCGGCATTCTTTTCTTAGCGCCGAGCTTCCTGACGACTCTGTCCATCTCCACCGTCGTCACCCCGACTCTTTTATCCTCCCCGTCTGAAGGGGGTCCTCATAGGGGGGAATGCAGGCTTCCCCTCATGGAAAGAGGGCCCTCACAACCTCATCAAGAAAGTCGGGGTCCAGAGACATTGTCGGTGGGGGCGCCCAGGTGCGCAGGCGCCTCATCATAATGTGATAAGGGCGCCCCCATGGGTCCCTGTCGATAGTGGAGACCAGGTCATTCCAGGCCTTGGCCTTAAAGATGGCCGCCTTGAAGGCCCCCCGCTTTTCGTGGTAAGCCCTCTCGACGGCCACCTTGCCGTCACCATTCCTCTCCCGCCGGTCCGTATCTCTCCTGGCTTGGCCGGCGGAGTGCCGCAGTTCGGCAATCTCCGCCGACCACCAGTACGCGGACCGGCGAGGGGTACGACCGGGATCGGGGCATGGCAGCATCACACGCCGCCGTCATCATGCCCTGGATCCCGGCCATTTCTGTCTCAATAGCCGGGCCGGGTCCCAGGTGTGGGACTCGGTTCCGCACATGTGGCCGCCAATAAGGCGGCCATCAGCCTGACGCGGTCGAGCTTTTGGAGAGCCCATCTTCGTGGCCGGGTGCCCCTTTGATTGCGTCTCCGGAGCACCTTTTCCGGGGTGGCAACTATTCGGACCAAGATGTATCTATAGTCCGACAGGTTCTCCACACCAGTCTCCACTTTCCATCCCGTGATGAGTCGGGCCGGAGGGGGCGATGTCAAGGTGACATCTATCGGGAGCGGTGCACTTGGACACAGTACAATTGGACACATTGCAAATGGACACGTTGCAAATGGACGCGGCATTTGACACACAGTTCAATTGGACACGGTGCGTTTGGACACGAAAGAAAATGCACGTTATTCAGTTACACACCGTTCATTTGGACACCGTTCAATTGGACACCGTTTACTTGGACACAGTTCAGTTGGACACCGTTCAAGTGCCCACAGTTCACTTGGACACAGAAGGATGCTTACTGTTCACTTGGACACCGTTCACTTGGACACCGTTCAGTTGCCCACTGTTCACTTGGACACAGAACGATGCG